GGACCCTGCTGGGAGACAGAAACCACTGGGCTTCCTCACCGCTTAGGAAAACTCCAGAGTTTGGGCATCCGTCTTTGAATAATATATTGGTTTACTGAGCAGTCACCGTGTGGGCGGGCCAGCTCCAGGTTCTGAAAAAGACGTCGTTGCTGTCACATAAAGCTCACGTTCCTGAATACGTTAGCCAAATAATTACAGTAATACATGCCTCAAGGAGGTCAGTGTGGTGCTGTGAGTCAGTAACGCTGGACGGTGACGACACTGCTTTCTCAGGCCCCTCCGAGTAGGTGTCATTTGCTTACGATCTGATGAGATGCTTCATGGCCCAGCCAGTGCAGAGCTCGAGGGCCAGCCTCCCAGGAACCCGTGCAGCAGGGGCCCGAGAGGAGAAAGAGCTCAGACTCTGCCCCGCGGGAGCGGAAGGCCACTGTCTGGAAACCCCAGGGAGCAGCGGCCTGAGCTGGAACCCTGCGAGTGGGCCCGGGGCAGAGCGTGGATAACCAGGGCATGCTCAGATTTCTGTGCCAGCTCAGGGGGAACCATCGAAAGGTTTTCAAGCAGGGGAATGGCATAGCCCGGTTAGCGTTTTAGAAAACCTCTCTGTCTGCTTTGTGGGAAGTGGATTCGGAAAGTAAGAGGAACCAGGAGACCCTGGAGAGGCCTTTGCAGGCATCAGCTGGCGGTGATGCTCTTGAGGATGGTGCTGGGGGCAGCCAGGGTGGAGAGGAGCGACTAAAGACATTTTCACAAATAATAGGATCCGTTAACAGGTCGGCGTGGAGGGGAGAGACGGGGAGACAGCACGGACGCCTTCAGGGAAGTCGAAGGAACTGGGAGTGGGGCTCGTTCCCGGACTGACCGCAGCTAGAACTCAGATACAAAGACTGACGTCTGTGAAGGGACAGAGCAGGACTTAGCTTTGGAGGTCGAGCTGCCATTGAGACCTCCAGGTGGAATGATCAGGTAGGTTGTGGAGGTGCAGGCGTGAACTCAGAGGTCGGGGCCCAAGAGAAATGACGGCGTTGTCCACGCATCGTTCCACTCTACCATCGACGTGCCACAGGGACGGTGCAGGTAAAGACGAGTTTAAACAGGGAAAATCATCTCCAGCAGATGAAAGGGAAATACAGCGTCCAGTTCAGTAGGAGGAAAGTCAGGAGAGAGGACGGCCATTCGGGAGGAAAGCATTAGTTGGTATGTCACGTGTGTCCAAGGTGTCCAGGAAGGTGAGGTTAAAACATGTCCTGTGTCCTTGGGATTTGGCCGCCAGTCGGTTGTCGGTGATTCTGACAAGGGCAGCCCCAGAGAGGGGCACAGAGCCAGGCTGGAGTATGTCCAGGAAGAAGCAGGAGGTGAGGGTGGAGGCGTCTGTGTGGCAGACAGGTGTGTTTGAGAGAACTTGCTGAAAACAGAAGCAGAGGCACGACAGCCGGACGGCCGCTAGCGTGAGCGTGGGTTCAGGGGACAGGTTTAGGGGTTTGGGCCTTTAGTGGGAGTAGCAGTATATGTGTGTGGCTCTGCAGATTCAACCAACCTGAGAAAATTCCACCATGACCTGTTGACTCCGTGAACCTGGGGCCCACGGAGACAGAGGGTCAACTGAACTGCACCGTATGGGTACTGAGGGACAGGAGTGTGTGTCCGTGGGAAGGCTGAGGAAGAGATCAATGACTGGGGGCCAGCAGGTGGCGTAGTGGTCAGGCACTGGACTCCCACATGGCTGACCACAGTTCAGTTCCCAGACCCAGCGGCTTGAAACTCATGTCAGGAGTGTGTGCATACATGCCCAGAATCCTACGAGGAGAATGGAGGAGAAGGGACTGTGGCATGGCCATCCTCCCTAGGGGGTGATTTCGCAGTTTCTCTGTCTCCCCAGTGAGCACATGCACCCTATAGCAAAAAATCTCTCCCACCAAGGAAGAGATTAATGACTGATGTGGGGGAGAGGGGATAGCTGCAAGAGAGAAGTCCTTGAAAAGGCAAGCAGGGGCTTAAAATCCAGCCCAGTCCTCAGATCTTAAAAATAAGGTTAATTCCAAACAGATCGCAGCCCTGTGCTACGTCTCGTGGTGTAGACGGTGCACTTTCCCACAGTTCGGACGACCCACCAGTGGAGGCTCGTTCAGTGCCGAGGGTCTCTGTTGAATAGGAAGAGGCAGCTGTAATGCGGAAGTGGGACCCTGCAGGACTGGCTGAGGTTGATGGGAGAGGCAGAACATGCCGGTGGGGCGGCACATGGCCACTCCCCGGAGCGAAGCGGAGTTCTTGACCAGGCACACCCGGGTCGCATCTGTTAGGACCAGACGAGGGCTTGAGAATCCCACAGAGGAGACAGATGAGCCGTGGGAACTGCCTCTGCTTGAGCGACAGGAGTGACGACAACCGTCCTGCAGCAGGGTCAGAGTGGGAGCCATCGTGGGTGACTGCTGGGTCCGAATCAGGGTGCATCCTGTAACCTGCGCCTGAAGTTCTGAGCCTGGATAAGACAGCAGCAGCAGACAGAGAGGAGGTGACAGAGGGACGTTCGGAGGGAAGACGTGCAGGGTCTGGTTGTCAGTTGGACACGGGCTGGGGAAGCAGAAGTGGGAGAGGATTTCAGGTCCCTAGGCTGAGAGTCCGACCACCTCAGGGACAGCTGGGCTTCTCCACTCGGCTATGCACAGTGTGCCCAGTGGGTGGTGGAAAAGAAGGGGCTGCAGAATTTTCCTGAAGGTGTTAAGTCAGCGCCAGTGATAGGGTAACCTCTGAGCTGAAAGGCACCTTGTCTCCGACTGTCTGCGTCATGGCCACTGGAGCCATGGGCTGGGTGAGCCCTGCCCTTTCCCTGAGGGCCTGAGTGGGAGGGGGGCGAGCGCAGCCAGCCACAGCGTCAAATGTGGGGTAAGAGCGAGCCCGCAGCTCAGTGGTGGGGGCCGGTGGAGAGCCATTTCCAAGGGCCTCCTTTTCACGGCATGGCATCCACCTACACTTGACGGGCTTTCTCTGGAATCTGGGAAATGAATTTACTCAGCCCATCAGTGCACTTCGTTTGGCAGATTTCTTGTTTTAAAGTTTATTTGTTCCATGAGCAAGAGAGACAGAGAGGCAGAGATTCCCAGCAGAGTCCAGACACGGCCATCCACTCCCAAGCTCAGCCAGCCCTGGGTCGTGGGCGCTCGTGTGCCTGGCGTGTTCAAGGCCTCTGGACCAGACCCAGAACCTCCCATGAAGGTTCATGGATCGAGTCTCAGAACACCACGTTTTACCGCCGTGCCACCGTCTGGCCCTGGTAGGTTATTTTTTAACTTGAAAACATACGTAGGAAAGTCAACTCTAGCATTCTGTCTCCTCTTTTTCTGTTCTGTTTAAGCGTTGTAAATGAAACCGGAGAACAGAGGATCTGAGCTTGGCTTTGCAGGCCACAAAATGCGATTATTTCTTACCTTCGTCTCTCTATTTGTCTTGGGATTTTTACCTCCTCCTTTTCCCTAAGAACCTTTTAGTCCTGTCTGTAAATCACCTGATTCTTAAGGAGCTCTGGCTCCAGATCTGAAGGGGTTTTCGGGGTCAGAGAAGGTCTGCCGGGTAGGGGCAGCCCCCCGCTCTGAGTCCCACTGCAGACTTCCCTCTTTCAGAACCGGCGCAACCCCCCCCCCCCGCAAGTCCCACTGCAGACTTCCCTCTTTCAGAACAGCACCGTCTTTTGGCTGTCACAAATTCATGCAGCAATCAGAGAGGATTCAGAGTCATGTTTGTGGAAGGAAGAGATTATTACAGTACCTAGAGGAGGGAGGAAGGAGGAGGGAGAAAGCCCAGGGTTCGGCTTTTGCCCTTGAGCTGTAAATTCTCAAGGTCTCTCTTAGAAATCTCCCGGAGTCGGAGTCATTGTTAAAAATCCACTTTCCATTGGAAAACAGGGTAGGGTTATCAGATAATCATTTTTGAGGCCTTTCCCCTCAACCCAGCTCTGACACTGTGAAAAAAATTTCAGAGTTCAACTGCAGAGTAAATCTCCATTTAGATAGTGCTGGTTTTCCCATGGAGCATGAAAAGAGTGAGTCCTCCCAGCTGGTATGTTCGACTTTTCCTCTGCACGTGGACATGTGCACACACACACACACCCACACAGGTGTAGGAGGGGTGTTCAGAAAGCTCACGGAAAATGCATATTATGAAAATACTGTGCACAGATTTCAAAAAAATTTTTGCCAAAATAAACATGCACTTTAATTCCATTTTTTCCACAGCCTTTTAAAATTTTTATTTTAGGTTGTTGTCACACAGTGCATGAACTCACCAGAAAGAGACAGAGAATAAAACTGAGAAATCACACACCACCCCCACTCCCACCCGAGGGAATGGCAGTGCTGCAATCCCTTCTCCTCCATTCTTCTTTTGGGATTTTGGGCGTGTACTCATGTGCACCCAGCGTATTTTCTTTTCTTTCCTTTCTTTTTTTTTTTGAGAGGTTTTCGCTATAGGGCACATGCGCTCACCAGACAGGCAGAGAGAGACATAGAGACAGAAAGTGAGAAATCACCCCCCACAGGGGATGGTCACGCCACAATCCCTTCTCCTCCATTCTCCTCTCGGGATCTTGAGCATGCACGCACACGCGCCTGGCGTGAATTTTAAGCCACCGGGTCCGGGACGCGAACCGCAGTCGCCTACGTGGGAGTCCAGCGACATAGCCACTACGCTCACTGCTGGTTCCTACCCAGCATATTTTCTAAGCCACCAGGTCTGGGACTTGAACCATGCTCGGCCATGTGGGAATCTAGTGCCTTACCCACCACACCACTGGCTGGCCCTTTCCATAGTCTTTTTGAAGACCTTTCATACATGCACACACCTCAGATGCCTTACCTTGTAAGTGGACAGAACTGCTGGTCACGTATGATGGTGGTTATCACTGAACAGCAAGTAGGGTTAGATACCACTTACCTTGACAGCCCCTCAGCGTGAAAAGATCATGTTGCTTCAAAGAATTCATTAAGACTTGTCTCTTTCTCTCCTTCCAGAGGGCCAGTTGAGAGTGGACGCCAATATATCTGTGCACCATCCTGGAGAACCTTTGGGCATTCGGACCGAAGTGAAGAATCTCAACAGCTTTAGGTTTTTGGCCAAAGCCATAGGTTAATGTCTGCTTTTATTTCTGATATGCTTCTTTGTATCAGTTATCTCTCGCTGTGTAACAAACCACCCCAACACACAGTGGTTTGCATGTAACTGCTTTTGTTTTCGTAGCTCTGTGAATCGGGCAGTTCTTTGCTGGTCCTGTCTTGGCTCACTCATGCAGCATCGGAAACGGCAGGTCTGCAGAAACAAAGGTCTGAACAGACCTAGCTCACATGTTGGGGTCTCGGTGCTGCATGTCTTGGGAGGCTTCTCCATCCACATGGTCGTTCTTCATTCCCTTGCTTAGCATAGGCCTTCCTTTTGGCAGTGGGAGCTTTCCAGGAGGATGAAGGAGGAATGCTCACAGCCTCGTGAGTCTGAAACTGTAGAATCCGCAGTGGAACCTCGAACACATTCTCGTCAAAGCAGATTCAGCTCAGAGCAACTTGCATCCAGAGACGGGAAATAGACTCCACCTTTTTATGGAAGGATCTGCAAAATATTGCAGCTGTCTTTTGCCATTTATCACACTTTTTTTCTAACCAGCCTGAACTTTATAAAGTCCTGTGATTTTAGATTGGCCATGGCATGACCTAATTGGCCATGATATTTTTTCTCCTTTTTCCTCTTGTTAACCAGTAGGTTACACGAGCCTGTGCGGTCGAGTATGGGTTCCACCAGAACGCTGGGTATCTCCCTGATGGAGAACATACATAATAATAAAGATAAGATGGTTTGGCAGATAAGCGTCTGGGGCAGTCCTGTCAAAGTCGATGACTGAGTCCCGGGGGGGGGCGTGTCTCAGAGCACTAACGATATATTAGGTTGTTTGGAAAGCCAGGACAGGGACCAGCAGTTAGCGTAATGGCTACGTCGCTGGACTTCCATGTAGTCGACCGCGGTTCGCATCCCGGATCCAGTGGCTTAAACTCACGCCGGGTGCATGTGCGTGTGTGCCCAAGATCCCGAGAGGAGAATGGAGGAGAAGGGATTGCGGCGTGGCCATCCTCCCTGGGGGATGATTTCTCGCTTTCTGTCTCTCTGTCTCTCTCTCTTTCTGGCGAGCATGCACGCCCTATAGTATAAACCTCTACAAAAAAAGAAAAGAAAAGCCATGACGTATTTTTCTGTGCAAAAATGTGTCATAATTTTTCTGACAACTGTATATATATAGGTAGGGTTTTTTTGTTTGTTTTGTTTTTTAGGTTTTTGCCATAGGGCTCATGTGCTACTCTAAAAGAGACAGTGAGAAGGAAAGTGAGAAATCATCCCCCAGGGGAGGTGGCCTTGCCACAGTCCTTTCTCCGTTCTCCTCCTGGGATCTTGGGCACCCACACGTACACACAGCAGCATGATTTCAAGCCTCCAGGTCTGGGTCTTGAACCACAGTTGGCCTTGTGGCAGTCCAGCACTGTAACCACTACACCACCTGCTGGCTCCACTAATCATTGTCTTAAAATCAAAGATATCTAGAGGGAAAGAAAGGAGGAGGAAGGGATGGAGTTTAAAGCGTATCCCTTTCCAGAGTGCACAGCGTAAGACAGTTGAGCGTGTTGCCAAGATGTCGCCGTAGCCAACACGTTTAAATAGCCCTGGGTCTTGTCAAGAAGACACCCAGTGCAAAAAAGATGATTCTAGTCTCATGTAAACCTAATTACCCCGAACAGAAATGACCAGCCAGCCTCAGTGAAGACACGGAGTCCACGGACTTCTGGAAGAAAGGCATCACAGTGGTCCAAGGCATGCCCTGTGGGAGGAGGGGAGGGGAAGCCCGCGTGAGCGTAGACTGTGGAGGGCGAGCTCCTCTGTGTCCAGGAGGGGGGCGCATCTGTGGTTCTGAAGCCTCGAAGGGTTGGAGTCAGGGAAGAACCTCACAGCCCAAGGTCGTGAAGGAGGAATGTGGAACCAGAGGGGAAGGTCCCACGGCGCCATGCAGGTGTCGTGCTGGTGGGGACTGTTCTGAACGGAAATGGCGGTCACCTGGAAGCAGACAGCACCCAGATTCACCTAGACTGGCCCATCGTGAGCCTGAAGGAGCCCGGTGGCATGTTTGGGGCTGTTCCTAACCTTCAGCAGTCTACGGGTGCCCTTTGGAGCAACCTGTGAGAGCAAATCCTGCCTGGGTGCTGATTCAGACCAAGGACCTGAGGCTGTGCTGTCATGGACTCGCGCCCCCAAGCCTGTCATTTCCACCCCACTGTTCTCCCCACCTCGGCCTCCTAGCCATCTCAGGGCAGCCAGGGAGGATGGGCGGGGAGACGGGCAGCCCAGCTGATGGGTTTGGGGGTTCCTGGGGCTAGCAGCTCAAATAAGGAGCATGGGCGTGGCCAAGGGAAGGCAGGCTTAGCAGAGTGGGAGTCGGGGAGGCCCAAGCTCTTCCCATCCGCGGCAATTATGCTGCCATGGCCACGACTGCCTTGTTGGAGGTCAGGGGGCAGGGCTTCATTCGGGGTCACAAGTCCCTTTGAAAATACACTGACAACTCCAGACCTGCTCTCCACAGAAGGTCCAGGTGCATGCAGTCCCATTTTTTCATATGATTCGGGGGTACGGGCACCCTCTGAAGCCCATCCGTGGATCTCAGGGTAAGACCTCTGGATACGCAGCCGCCGAGGTCTGGAGTCGGGAGCCCCAGGTACCCGGCACAGCCTTGCGTCTGCGGGGCCGTGCGAACCGTGCTGGGTGGCTTAACCTCGCTGCAGCCAAGTCTTTGAAAAACGAAGGAGCAGGGCCCTCCAAGACTCTTCCCAGTATCCACATTCTGTGGTGGCAGGAAGAGGAAATGCGGCAATAAGGGGAGGATTTTTATCAACAGCCTTCCTGTCCGTTATTTTTTGACTTAAAGATTGAGAAAGGTTTTTAATTAGTGCTTGCCTGGGTGAAAGATATCATCAAAACAGGATACTGAGTTACTGTGTATTTTTTTTTTTCAGACTATGAAATTGAGAGGCAAATCAACGAACTTGAGAGCGGAGGGGAAATCCTGAATGAGACGCGTTCGTTTGATTACAAGCTGGGGTACGTCTGCGTGGATGGAGCATCTTGACCACAGCGGGGTGGGGAGGGGGGAGCACGCAGACCCGCCCTGGGACCTTGAAGAAGGCACTTAGCCCCTCTGCATGTCAGCTTCCTGATGAGTAGAATTAGAAACATTCTGGACCCTCAGAGACCTCACGTGCCCTCCCAGGCTGTGCAGAGCCTCCTGTTGGCCAGCCTTGCACACTCCTGCTTCCCTGAGGTCCCTGCTCTGCCCTTGCTTCCATCCCACCCTCTTTGTGGCAAGAATTTTTGCTTCCTTAAATCATCTGTCAGGGACCAGTAGATGGCGTAATAGTTAGGTTGCTGTAATCCCACATGGTCAACCGCTGTTTAAGTCCCAGAGCCAGCGGCTTAAAATTCAAGCCCGGCACATGTGCATGCATGCCCAAAATCCCAAGAGGAGAGTGAAGGAGAGGGGATTGCCTTCACCCTGGCAGGGGTGATTTTTCACTTTCTGTCTTTCCAGTGAGCCCATGTACCCCTATAGTAAAAATCTCTCTTAAAAAAAATAGTAATAATCTATAAAACAGCCTGTCAGAGGGGCCAGCAGGTGGTGTGGTGGTTAAGGTGCTAGACTCCCACGTAGCCAACTGTGATCTGAATTCTGGCCTTCATAGCTTCTTTTTTTATTATTATTTTAAATTTTATTTATTCATTTACTTATTTTATTTTGACCAGAGAGACACAGAGAGAGAGAGAGAAAGTGAGAAAGCAAGCCACCAGGTCCAGGACTTGAACCAGGGTTGACCATGTGGGAATATCCAACACCTTAACCACCACGCCACCTGCTGATCCCCATGGACCTCATAGCTTGATAGTCACTCTGGTCACATGCAATACCCACAATTCCAGGAGGAGAGTGGAGGAGAAGGGATTGCAGCATGGCCATCCTGCCTGGGGTGATTTCTCACTTCACTGTCTAGCAAGCTCACGCTCCCTATGGGAAAAACCGTAACAATGACAACAAAATACCTACCCCATCTCCACCCACTTCGGCGAGAGGTAGGAGAGAGCCCTACCCAGTTTACATAAAGGGGTCTTTTTAAAAAGTTAACTTCGATCCTAACTTTCTTTTTTTTTTTTTTTTTTTTTGGGGGGGGTTTTTTTCTTT